GTGCAGGTCCTTCAGTGCCTTGGCCTGATGAACCTGCAACAACGCCATGGCATGTAGGGCAGAGGCAGCTTCTCCGCAGACTGCATAAGCACTGCCGGTCAGGGCTGACGAGTACCTACATGCCCGGGAGGGGAGCGATGGCTTGCTCTGCCAGGTGGCAGTGGTATTTGGACACATTTGCACTGCAACCGACCTCCCCACCGGAGGGACTTCCGTATACCCCCACGCTGCCCCGCCATCAAGGGTGGTGAGGGAGGACGAACCACTGGGGTGGTTTCTGGCAGTAAAAAGTGCCGTCCACGACCCAGTGAGCTCATCATGCACTTCCGGGAAGAAAGGCACTGGGGTGGGGCCCTGAGAACCAGCGCGAGCCACCCCGAGAAACCAGTCGTCCAGCCGCGAGGGTTCAGGACGCGGTGGAGGCTTCCACTCGAGCCCAACCCTCTCGGCGGCACGGGCAAGCATAGCCACCATTTCCGGATCCATATCCGGTATTGCTGGCCGCCCAGAAGGCGGCAGCGCTGCCGGATCATCATCTCCAGAAAGGTCTCCGATGCAGCAATCGACATCGGATCGCCGGGGGAGTGCCGAAGGTACCCCACGAGAGGGTCCAGCCTGTTCCCTGGGCAGCTCGACTGGCTGCAAAGTGCTGGTGGAAGGTGGAGCCCTCAGAGGTTGGTTCCTCTGAGGGGAATTCCTCACCATCACCGTAAGACCAGTCTGGCTACTGCCAGAAGTAGCACCCCCACCCCTGGCTTTTGCCAGGGGGAACACTAGATCTAGGCAGAGGCACAGGAACCCCGCCCCTTTGCAGGAAACGGAGCCTGGTCTGCAACTCCGCGGCGGTCATTTTTCCGCAATGAGAGCAAGACTCTTCTACAAACGACGCCTCAGCGTGCTTAACGCCCAGACACGCGAGGCAGCGATCGTGACCATCACCCGGCACCAGGAAATGACCGCATCCAGAAACGCACGGATGGAAGGTCATCTTTAAAAAGACGTCCACCCATGAATGCTCTTTTAGAGATTGCTCTTTTAGTGTGCTGAAGCGCACAGGGGAGATGGCCGCCTGCAACACAAACAGGGGATAGTGCAGCCTGATGTGTGCAACCCACTCGACACGGGAAGAACCACCGCCGCTGAAGCGCTGTACCGCCAACACCAGAGCTTCCCAAGAGCACACTGAAACTAGTGTGCTCTTGTTAACTAGTTCTAACACTAGTTCTAGTGTTAGAGTCTTCACCCTGTAGCAGAGAAGTCAGGAGCAGAACGATATAACCGCTCTGCTCCGAAGCGGAAAGCTGAGTATGTGTTGCACCTGCTGCCTAGTTATATTCGCGCTGCGATCAGTGGCGGCTGGATCATCGCATGCCAATGTGCATTGGCTCATTTAGTTTACACTTGAAGTGGATTGGTCTCTCTAAGCAAGATCCCAATTCGTCGGTCATTACCGACGTGACATTGAGAGTGACTGACTGAAAGGGAACTAAGAAATGAGCTGGTAAGACTCAGCAGTACACTTATTTGGTTACTTTATCACTCCAGTCATAATTTCTTGTCAATCTTTAGAAAACACTTTCTTTTTCCAGAGTAATTTAGTCAGTGATAAATTTTGAAGGAAGTCTTTTTTAAACTTCTAAATTAAAAACAAATGCACACATTAATAGTGTGCATTAATCTGGGGAGATTTCAACATCAAACATTATGTACTTCACATTGGATATTCTAGAATTCACTGCAAATCACCTGTAAAGTTTAACCTGTAAAGCAGGGATCCTCAAATCTGGCCCACGAGATCCACTTTCCTGCAGAGTTTAGCTCTAACCCTAATCAAACACACCTGAGCATGTTAATCAGTGTCTTCAGGATCATTAGAAAATCACAGGTAAGTAAGTTTGATCAGGGTTGGAGCTAAACTCTGCAGCGCATTGGCCCTCCAGGGCAAGATTTGAGGAACCCTGCTGTAAAGAATAGCTTATTTTTCATTTTTATTTTTCACTTTTTATTTAACAGGTTTTTTTTGTTTGTTTGTTTTTTTTCTTTTCTTTCTTTCTTTTTTTTTGAAAATACCATTTTCAAGTCCTAATTTAAGTTAGTAGTCATAAGGTACATTTACAGTAGGCTCCATGGCAAAATTTGTGCCTAATAACTGCTCCAAGACAGTATTTCAGTGTGTTTTGAAATATCAGAAGGTTTCCAAACTAGTGTGCTTTATTGGAACACTAATGTTAGCCCAAGTCTATACAGTCTACAGAATTTAAAATGGTAATACAACAATAAACCAAACATTATCGTGCGTTGGTCTGGATGCTAATATAGTTATTGTTATAATAATCTTTATAGTTAGCAGTCTTGGTTTGTATGAGCCTTAAAACACAAAAGGCATGATATGACCATATTTACTTATGTACGAAATTTGTTTTGCATTTTCTTGCATTTATTATTAAACGTTTGTGTTATTATTTGTATGCTTTTTCTTTTTTCACTAGACACATGGAGATCAGAAAGATACAAGCTGAGGTCTCAAACCTGTTTTTATTGGCATAGCTTGCTGTTCTCCCAGCAGCTGCGTTTTGTTTTGACTTGTTTATTTGAAATGAGTAGTGATCTGTAGGAATGGGGGACTGCTGCCAGTGAAGTTGGGATTAAAACTGATAACAAAAAATCTTTACAAAAACATCAAATGTGGACTCTGCTTGTGAAGGAATGGTGGTCGTGTGTTCACAGGTGTGGGCTGTAATCTGCAGGATCATCTGGAGATATATGTGCAGCATCGCTGTACTCAACCCATCACGCTCTACAAAGCCCAGAAGCCCTTCCACATGGTGAAGATCGGCCTGGAATGGCTATCCAGATTCACAGGTAATGAATGAATCTGAGCGTTCTGTGAGAGCTCTGATTATTTGTGTGCATCTCACAAAGCCTGTCAAGAACATGAAGCGTTGCAGACATTAAGACGCTTGTGTTTTGCTGCAGGTTATGGTGCAACGGCTCATCTGGAGAGCGGCGGGTTCATTCGTAGTCATCCTGGTGTTCCTCATCCTGATATTCAGTTCCATTTCCTGCCCTCTCAGGTCATCGATCACGGCAGAGTTAAATCCAAGATCGAGGCCTTCCAGGTCGGAGTACTTTAAAGACTACATAATTCTGCCTGTTGTGACTCTTGCTAATCAAACACTATCTGTGTTCTCTGTTGTCAAGCCTAAAGAGTCACATGATGTAGAGGGGCGTTCACACAGGTCAATAAATGGCTGTATCTTTAGTGTAGCAGGTGTAACCTAACATTCACATTCTGCAGAGAAATGTGTTTGTACATAAACGGCAGTAGTGTGTTGTGAATTATATCATAAACAAGATTATTAGTGAATCACACTGCCTCAAAATGCTGGTGATTTCTAATACATCAATGTTTGCTGACAGAAAAACCAGGAATAATGTTTTTTAAACATTAAATGTTATGACAAAACGTTCTTAAAAGTAATGTTTATGGAACGATCTTTTAACTTCATTAATATTTGATATACGTTCTCATAACTGAGAGAAAACGTTCTAAGAACATGATGGTATTTTTACTTGATGAACATTCCCATAAAGGTGAGAAAATGTTCTTAAAATATTAAAATTAAATGTTCTAATGATGTTATATGTTATGTAAAATAAAACTAGTAAAACGTAATAAATGTTTTAGTCACCTTTAAATAATGTCTTAAGCACAACAAGAAAACTAGACATGTTAATGTTCTTAGAATGTAAAAAAAAAAAATAGCATTATATTTTGGGTGAAAATGTTACCAGAACGTTGAAAGAAACAGAAATAATGTTCTAATTGTGACAAAATACTGGACATTTTAATGTTGTTAGAATGTTAAAAAACATTAAATGTTATATTTTGGGTGGAAACGTTCAAATGTGGCAAGGAATGTTTTACTAATCTTTTAAAAGTTCTAATCATGACAAGAAAACTGGACTTTTGAACATTCTTAGAATAAAAAAAAAAAACATTCAAATAACATATTTTGGGTGGAAAGTTAGTTGAACGTTCTAAGAAACATTTCGGGAACCTGTAAATAACATTCTAATCTCAACAAGAAAACTGGACATTTCAGTGTTTAGAAACAATGTTCTCACAATGTTTTTATAACCTAAATTTGTTACCTGGGAATAAGGTTTGACTTTCCATCTCTAGATAATGCCACATCAATTCGCTGACCATCTTTTTCTGAAATTGACGTCCACTCGCTTTGTCGCTGTGAATGCCTGCATGTGTGAACACCCCTTTAATTCACCCTCAGCCGAGGAAGTAGATGTTGACTTCCATCACTCTGATGATATTAAGAGAGAGTCCTGCTTCAGTCTTTGCCCTCATGGCGCATTTGCTTATGCACACTTGTTTCATGCGATATGAATTCTCTGTGATGTGTGTAGGTTCATGTTGGACCCATGAGGAGCACGAGTGTTGGGTGGCTCAAACTGAAGAGTAGAGACCCGTTTGCCCACCCTATCATCCAACCCAACTACCTCTCCACCGGTACGTTTGCTGTGATCTGACGCGTTTAGAGCAGCTCAGGTCTCAGGAACGAGAGTGGTTTTAGTTGTGCTGTGTAATGGAGCTGTTGATTCGAGGGTAACCATCAGTCCCCAAATTGGGGACTTTGTACCACATCCTACAAGATGTAGTCAGTATCCCGCATTTCAATTATGGTTGTTTTATTTTTGTCTTTAATTAAATTACAGTATTGCGATAAAAATAATATAATAAAAAACTGTGATTAGAGTTAAAAATCTACTTGTGCAGCCGTCATTTTCTAGCTAGAGCATAATAATTAACCAACCAACCAACCAACACACTCATAGAGAGGGATTCTTTCCCACTGATTTCCCATTTCTTGCTATTAATGGAAATTTATTTTGGTAAATGTATCTCTCCCACATTTCAAAAGTGTTGCAATAGTTATTCTGTTCAATTCTGCACTTTGCGGTCTAGAAACAAATATTGTTCAGTGATACAGGTGCTTTCAGTTTCCTCCTGTCTGAATTTTTGTGCATTTTAAATGGACCCTTTTCATAAGACTATGATGACGCATTTAACGGTCATCAGCATCGTAAATCCTTGAAAGTTTTTATATTTATATATATATTTTTTTTTAATGTATATACATTTATAACACTATACTTTGTATTATATCACATTTGCATCAAATTACATAAAAACTAGTTAATGCTAATGCGAGGGTGTTTCTAATGCAGCGTCTATGGGAGGGACGGTAAATTTGACATCGTTCTCTCTTCTGACTGCCGATAGCAGTCTCTCTCAATTTTTTTCCTTTTATTGAAAGTCTTGAAAACAATATATTTGTGGTACTCTCCCATTCACTGCTCTTCAAGTTTACCCAACTATGACGACTTCCGCTGCTGAGAAACCCCGAAATGTGAAAAAGGTCCATTGTCTTACTTTTTTAAATGCCAAATTCGTTTAAGAACCTTACGACAATTCCAGTCAAAAGTTTGTAGATTCTTCTATATTAAGAAAAATCTACAAACATATTGAGCATATTGAGATGAAACCCAGTAACCGTAGGCGAAACAGTGGCTAAACCTGAATGGTCATAAGTTGTGTTTATACTAGTGCTATCAAACGATTAATCGCGATTAATCGCATCCAAAATAAAAGTTTTTGTTTACATAATATATGTGTGTATTGTGTATATTTATTATGTATATATAAATACACACATACGGTGTATTTTTTGAAAATATTTACATGTATTTACGTCTATATGTTCATATAATTTATATTATATATATTTAATATATGAACATAACATATTTTTCTGAAATGTATACATGCATGTGTGTGTATTTATATATATATATACATAATAAATATACACAATACACACATATATTATGTAAACAAAAACTTTTATTTTGGATGCGATTAATCGCGGTTAATCGTTTGACAGCACTAGCTTATATGCTTTGAACAGATGATCCTGATATCATAACAGTGCTGACTGATTCTTGTGTAGTTTCTCACTGCCTCATGTTCTCCATCGCCTCACGTCCCACAGACACCGACATGTTGGAGTTCAGAGAATGCATCAAGCTCACACGGGAAATCTTCGCTCAAAAAGCCTTCGACCCTTTCCGAGGCCCCGAGGTGCAGCCGGGCCCCGCCGTCCAATCCGACGCAGAGATCGACGCTTTCGTCCGGCAGAAGGCAGACAGCGCCTACCACCCGTCCTGCTCGTGTAAAATGGGCAGCGCCTCGGACAGCAGGGCGGTGGTGGACCCTGCTCTGCGTGTGTTCGGTCTGCAGGGGCTGAGGGTGGTGGACGCCTCCGTTATGCCCAGCATGCTGAGCGGGAACCTGAACGCCCCCACCATAATGATCGCTGAAAAGGCAGCGGATGCCATTAAAGGGATTCCCTGTCTTCACGACCCTGGAGTTCCTGTTTACCGGCCCACGACTCTCGAGACGCAGAGATAAGACAGCTTTGACCTGGCCGTTCATGGTAATGTGGGAGAACGTGTTTAGACTTGTTTAAACGCTTTCAAATAATCGGAACATTTGGGAGGCCAGATTTTCCTGGTTTAAATGAATCATTTTGCCACATGATCAAACCACTCTTCAGTCTTAGGCGGCTTAGCTTCATCCACAAAGTGACTGATTTCAGTCTTAAATTCAGACGTGCATTATTAAAATGGATCATTGCTAATGCATTTAATGAAGTATGACCAGACATGATCTTGATAATTTTCATGAGATTCCCTCCATAAGTGTCTTAATGAAATTTACTAATATCACACACTTTAAAGAAGAGCCATTTGCAGCATATATATTTCCAGTTTGCATTTCCACACTATCAGTCTGACACAATTATGATGTGTTAATAATCAGAAATAATACATTTCAGCTGCTGAACCTACAGTAGGAACCAAGTATCTATGCAAATAACTCTTTAATGTTTACATTGAGAGAAAAAGAGAATCTTTAGACTTATGTGTTCTTTATTCTGGTACAATGGATTTTTTTAATACTTCATTAAATTATAATGGCGTAAGAAAAAGAATGTAACAAACAGTGGACCAGTTTTAACAGATTGAAAATGCTTGTAAAATCACTACAACAGATGATTATCTTTAAAATAATAACTGTACCTCTCAAAAAGAATAAAAGTATTAAATTATAAAAGTCTCCTTATGATTGATTTAAATGTCCTAATAAATGTCCAAATATTGCCCATGCAGATGACTGACACTTGCAAGACCTGAAATAATCATTTGCACAGCACAATGACCTTCATTGCAATAATGCCAGTAATCTACACACAATCTTATGATGTATAATTGCATTTAATTATAGGTAAAAGACCATTTAAAAAACATAAAAATAACTATTTTAGTTCATATCGGGATAATTCTCAAACTATGACAGAAACCATATGTTCCTTCAAAATGAAAGGAAGTCAAGTTTTGCTTTGCTATTAAAACACTGTCATAATTTATCCATTCATTCAACATGCATGACTTTAAAGCCTTTGTAATCAGACATTTTGTTAAAAATAGATCCTCTTTAATGTCTATTATCTTAAAGGCAGTTGAGAGTTATCCTAAGGGCTAAATTTAGAAAGGAAAGGTTGGTGGTTTACATCAAACAGTTTAACATCACAAAGACAAACATACAGTAGTTTAGACACAGCATGTGCTAAATTATCCGTTATTCTTTACAGACTCAAAAATCAACATTCTGGAACCTGTATGATGTTACATCTGCCTTGAAGCTTAATAAAAAAAAAAGATTATAAAAGTAGTACAGCCGGATCAATGAACTGAAATGATCTGACTCAAAAGAATGATTTGTTCACAAACTTAACATCGAACATTCATGAACACAGCTCGGGCCGATGTTACGATCCCATAAAATAGCCTACTGATGTTGGACTGTTCCTCATTCAACGCTGTTGAGCCACAACAATATAGCACACAACCTGTATGGACTATTTTCATAATACTTTTATACCACTTGTCCTTTTTGAATCATGAACACTTGAGTATCCATACAGGTTTGGACCGAACATTCGGGTTAGTAAATGATGACAGCATGTTTTGGGTGAACTATTTTCTATTTTATATAAGCCCAAACGTCATCCGGTGTGTGAGACATAGACCTCATTATCAATTACAGAACCAATGAGATAGAAAATAAATAAGAAATAAAAACAGTTGCTGTGTGACCAGCTGAAGGAACAGGAGGACCAAAGCGGTTTAATCAGTATCGAGGCAGATATGCTCACACTAACAGTAACACACACTCAGGCCGACTCTATGACTCGAGCGTTCATTGTTTTGATATGTTTAGTAACTACTTCTACTAGAGAAAGAAGCTGCTGTTTCCATCGCGGTGTCTCTGAGAGTTCAGAGAGTCAGACAGCAGTGAGATTTGCTCCCGATAAAGGAAGCAGAAACAGCTTTTGGACGGTGCTGCTGTGTAAAGCCCTTTGCGAGATCTGTTTGAGTACCTGAAGTCTATGACATGTCCACTTAAAATGCAGGTCAATATAATATGAAACCATTCATGTTCACATATTAATGCATCACAGATTCATCAGTGTAATTAGTGATTATTTAAATGCCTTAGTTTGTGCATATTACAGCCATATTTACTCAACAGACCGGTGTAGGGAAATAATATAAATGTACTTTTCTTCCACCACCAAGACAGGCATCTTGCATTATTTCATCATGTGAAAACAGGAGTATGGATCATTCGCCTTTCCATTTATGTGTTATCAAACGTTCACCCAAAAATGATTCACTCACCTTGTTGTTTCAAACCTTTTTTTTCTCCATGAAACACAAATGAAGTTCAGAGCTCCATAGTCCATATAATTTGTGCATAATTTAAATTTGCGTTTCTGTATGCCACACAAAGATGTGATGCAGCAGATTTGAAGTCAACGATGGCAAATGTCACCAACCTAGACACTTTGAATGCGGAAAAACAGGAAAAAGACATTCAATCATGACTTGCACATTTGTGCGACATTTAATTTGAATGACTTAAAATCTACGTAGTTCAGTTACCCAACTAGGAGGTATCATTGTGACGTTTTTACCATTGTAATAGCCTTGTATGTGTGAATAAAACTCTTGACTCAAATGGTGAAAGTGTCTTGAATGGGTCTGAAGAAATGCTATTTTGTACCTTTGATTAACTTTGGCTGGTAAGTTGGTTAGGGATCTTAAAAGGTCCAGAGGAAAACACTTTGGTCGGCAATGCCATCACATTTGGATCTTGCTGGAAATTTCCCAAGATATCAAAAGGTTTGCTAACTAAATGAAAAGGTCCAAATCTATTGGTTCATGTAAGCCAGCAGATCGCTCCATGACACTCCCATTTAAAGGCACAATTACCTCATTCATTCAATTTCTACATTATTTAGTTTTGTTGGGGCATTTTGAATTCTTTACTATAATACTGAGACGTAGATCATTTCGTCTGCGAGATCCTCCTCACGTTTATTGCTCATGTCCGTCTCCTCATCACTGTAGTCACGCAGATTGTTCTGACACAGGCCCGCCTCGTCTGCCTCCGGCCCGTGGCCTAGCGTCACGTTCAGTAAATTGCTAGCAGCACTTTCCATCTCATCAATTGTCATGTCACAAGCATCTGCAATCTCGTGTTTTGTCGCCGTCACAAACTTTGGATCCTTGGCATATTTGCCCAATCCACCAGATATCATCACCTACAACAAAAGACATTGTGTCAGGCAGTGTCGGGCAGTGCCTAGTTACAGTAACAATATTACTTTTTGCAGTAACTAGTAGTGTAACTAATTACTAATAAGATTTCAGTAATAATATTATAGTTACTATCCATAAAACAGCTAGTTACTTAGTTACTTGCGATGCCTCAACCCCTACTGATTTAAAGTCCAACGATCCAATAATTGCTAGATTTATTTTCACAACTTGCAAAGGCACGTGAAGTCACCAGAGCAGCAGGCATATGGAATATGAAAAAGCTTACATTCAGTGAATGGAAATATTGCCATTACATTGATTTTGTGAGGAGAAAAGATGATCTGAACACTGATGTGTAAGTCGTGGCATTACATGGCTTGCCCACATCCCTCTGATCCTGATAAACCGTATAAAATATTTTTAGAGAATGAAACATTTTCTTATGAACTTATACGATTATTTTGAAGAAAATACATCATGGAATATAATCGTATATGGGTAACAGAGAAACTATAGCTACAATTAGCTTCAAGCTACACATGACAATTAATGAGATTAATACAACGCTTTTACTAAAACATTACTATTAATCACCACTGAGCGTTTGTAATAACTTCTGACTGCGATCCAATGTGGATTTTGGTCAAATGATGAGGCAGAAATATATTGTTCGTAACATTTGAGAAGAATTTTATGGGGATAGGCCTATGCAACTTATGTGGGGCGTGAAAGAAAAGTAATGTAACTAGTAGTGTAACTACTTACTGTTGCCAGAAAGTAATAAGTAAAGTAATAATATTACTTTTTTAAAGGAGTAACTAGTAATAAGTAATATATTATATTTTTTGAGTAACTAGCCCAACACTGGTGTCAGGCAGCAGGTTTTATTTTTGACTCCTTCCTGTCTATAGTCAACAATGGCAAGTTTTCTTGCAGTCCAATCTGGGACTGTGCGATATAGTGTAAAGGCCCGATATACTTCAAGCGAAATCGAAGAACAAACTGATATGATGTAATTTCGAACAAAATCAGGCCGAAACGAAGTTCGTTTTGAGTTCGCTTCGGCAGTTCGAAACTGGGGGAGTTGGTTTTGGCTCCTAAACACCTTTGAGCTAACATTGGCCCGTGGCGATTATGCAATCGGTGGGTGTGTTCTGGAACTCCACCTTCTTTGATGTGAGATTTTTTTTCCCGGTTCATTACTCATTCCACAGAGGTCAGACAAGAGCACAACATCCAAAACAACACCACCACCAAGTTACGAGCAACATGAATACACTGGAGTGTTGAATAGCTGAGCTGGTACAAATGTATCCGCACCTGTACGATCGCTCACGGACAGACTTTAAAGTTTCGGAGGAGGCATTTAATTCCTGGAAAGAAACTGCAAAAAAAAAACTTGGTGTCAACGACCCGGAGTTATGCAAAGCGTTATACATCGCTTGTTCTTGCTCGTTTTCTTTGCCATTGAATAGATCAATGCTACTGCCAGATGTTTACGAAACTGTTCTTCTCTCACAGCTGCCATGGTTGTTGTGTTTAGGGAATACACATATTTACATACTCAATCTAAACCCCACCTCCAGCAGCGCGGGGGTGTTGGAATGTTTGAAAACAGTATACCGTCTCTCAGCCTTTTCAAACTACCTTTTGCCCCCATACGAAGAACGAAAAAGAACTTTGTTTGAAGTATATCGGGGCCTTAAATCTCCTTGTGGAGATATAGCCTCACGTGCATTTTGGCGTGCTCTTCATCAAATTCGTTTGCGTGTTTGTTATTTGAGAGCAGTTTGACTGATCTAGTTGAATCCCTGTAGAATTTTTTTCTCAACTTCACTTTGAAATAAAGATTATTTAAAAGTGAAGTTCGATATTTCTAAATGAGCAATTTTTGAGTATAAGTATATACATTTACTTACTGTATTCTCTTTTACATAATTTACTGATAAATTTGTTTCTATGTGTAAAACAATTTAGTTTGTCTCTCAAACTCCAGTCTACCCTGTTACATTGGTGCTACTTTCCCTTTATGCCTTGTCTAAATACCCACACTTGCGGTCTTTGCACTTGACCACTTGACTACTCATTTGACGTATTTCCTGTATTTGGCCCAAGTGAGGATGAAGACCACGAGTGTGTGCAGAACTTTTAATTACCTGATGGGGCACACTTGTAGTGTTGTAAAAATGCAAGAGTTTACATCTTTATTTTTATTTTAAATACTTTGCATTTTCAAATCAACTTGTAAATGTCTGTTCAGTAGTCCCTATAACGTGACACAATTTAATTTGTGGTGCTTCTAATTAAGTGATAAAAATCAGTTGCAAATATTGTACAAAATAAATATCACCACTACTCATCTTTGCACCAATAAAACGTGCAACACTGTTTTTCTGCCAAATTATATGTAATATCTAATTATTATATTAATATTTAACTTACATTGGAAAGGTTTCCGTGACCTCTCACGAGATCTCGGCAAAAAGTCTCACGATTTATTCCAAAACATGATGCATGATGGGATACACTAAGCCTCAAATAGCGCTCCAGATTTAGTGTGCTTTGAGGGCACTGCGCTTTGGCGTTTTGAAGACCTGGGACAGTCTTGCGCACTTACTTCCTGTCGCGCATGCGCTCTCAAGTGGCCAAGACCATGAGTGTGGGTATTTGGACAAGGCATAAGTAATTAATCATATACAGCCGGTAAAATAATTATTGAACACATGACCATTTTTCTCAATAAATATATTTCTAAAGGTGCTGTTGACATGAAATTTTCACCAGATGTCAGTAACAACCCAAGTAATCCATACATACAAAGAAAACAAAACAAATAAGTTCAGAAATTAAGTTCTGTGTAATAAAATGGAATGACCCAGGGAAAAAGTATTGAACTACTGAAATGTATTTAATACTTTGTACAAAAGCCTTTGTTGGTAATGACCGATTCAAGACGCCTCCTGTATGAAGAAACTAGTCGCATGCATTGCTCAGGTGTGATACTTCAACATTCTT